GTCTATCAGCAAAGTGCAGTAGAGTTTTTAGTTGCATTTTATCGTTATCATTCTGAGCAAACCTCTGTTCAATCATCCATTGATACATAATGATATATAATAGGATATACTGCATGGGTCACAACGTCACATATATTTTTTATCACTTAAAGTTGCGGGCAGAGTGAAATAACATACATGCTTGCTGGCGTCATAAGCAAGAGCTTATAGACACAATAATTCGAAAGTTTTTTACGACAATTTAAAGTTTAAACTATCATTTGTGTTTCTGTGGGACCGATTACTTATCCTTCTTTTATGCTTTCGCTGACCGACCCAGATGTGTATGACGCAAAAATGACGCAGCAAATGTGGAATCTGACGCTGGCCGACGAAACCGTTATAAAAATACGTTTGTTTTAGTACGAATCAATTACTTTAACAATTCAATATCGCGAAGCAATAAAATCCAGTTCAAATGTCATAAAACAAAATATTCTTCGAATTACTGTGACATCACATTGGAACCCGAAAAAACAATAGATATATTGTTGACATATGTAGAACAAAGGTTACGCTTGCTGTTGAAAAATACAGCGTTGCACTGGCTTAACAAAGTAATTGTGTATTTTATGATGGAATTTTCATATTTGTTCCGGAAAAAACGAATTGGACGTCTTGATCATATTGTCGAACTGCGGCGTTCGATTACCAGTCCATGTCGTACATGGGATTAGTTAGCAAGTTTCAGATGCATGGACTTGATGGTGGACGTACCCAAAGTGACTATAATATGACTATAATGTTATAGTCACTTTGGACGTACCCGATTCATGGCAGCGAGGAGTCCAACGATTCTTTCTCCCGCACATGAATAGCACCCACGGGACTTATTTTTAGCTTCGTCCTTAATTTTGGCTTGCGTGCCCTTATTTTGCCTTACTTGGACTCCATGAAGGGAGCTTTGTGTTGTTTGTTTTGTCGCCAAAGCTTTATTGTGGCACCATAAAAGCAACACAATCTTATTTGGAACATAAAAAAGCAAGGCACAATTGCACGCATGAGGCATTGTTGGGGTGGCGATCCTTAGGTTTTGTCGTGGTGGTGGTTATTTAGCTTAAATTTAAAAATGAGCAAATGTATGAACGTTTTTCGTGATGAGTACAGGAATGAATTCAAAGTAAAACGAAGCTTGACGTGCTTCTCACACTGTGACGTCTGTAATTATGACATTAACCTGGAGCCCATAGGAAAGCCAGCTATTTCTGCTCACAATGCAGAAATTTTTCCAGTCGTCCTTATTTTGGGTTCCAGATCGATGGAATCCCTGTATATATTTGTTAATCTGCATAAACATATATGTCAGTAGGTAGTGGTCGACGGAATGCTTGAAGCCATTTTCACTCTTCTATCGATAAATATGTTTTTACAAATGGACTGATTATCCATTTGTTCTTACAATAATTATGATGTTATGTTAATAATCATAAAGCAAGCATTATTGCAAAACAAAGAAGAAGAAGGACACGCGACAAACAGCAGATAAGACCTTATTTGAACAAATCATTGAAACAACATCACTGGCCAAACTTTTACCATAGATAATATGTAAGTTTATATATGGCCCAAACAAGATCTATGATGAAACTTAATCATAAATATTGAAAATACTAATCAGACAGTGCAAATTGGCATTATATCCCAGCGAAGCGAATTCCCTTTTTTTTTTGAGAAAATACAGCCATTTTACCTTATATTCTGTGTGGTATAACTTATATTGTTATTAGGTATTTTTGTGACACATATTTATAAACACATTACAAATTAGTCAAATTGCGGAAAAGCCAGAGTACGAGTTGTGTATATTACAAGATCCTTTGAAGATTGAATAAAAAGCGTAAATATAGTTTCTAGGCGTAGCGAGAGAGTAATATATAAATCCAAAGTATTCAAACTAAGGAACATTTTGAAAAAAGGTTTGGAACCACTGTCATATCGCATTGCCACGGCTCGTACTTACCGAATTACGGATTCTAACTCTAACACAAGTGTGGTCCTTACTTGGTGCTTACATGAAGCACAGTCTCGTTTCATTATTTCAACTAACGCGGAAATTCTGCTTGGTTTTACGTATTTTTAAACAGCATGGTTGTGATTGTTCTTATGAAGCGCAAACTAAACAGAAGGTGTTATATCAACATAGTGAACGCGGACTTACCGAGATTCTTGTTTTACTGTACATTTAGTTCATCGTTAAATGTGGATGAGGAAATAGATTATTCTTAGGTTGTTTATGAAAGGATCGGCCTACAAGTATTTGCGTCATTTTCGCGAAAGTTTTTGACCGCGAATTTCATTTTAAACGCCCAATCAAACTATTATATAGTCCTGTAGAATCAAAAAAGAAAAGGTCACATTTTATGGTTTTGAGGTGTATTTTACTAACAGTTTGGTTCTTACGGCCAAAACTTAAAATGTACATAAAAAACTACAAGAAATCAGAACTAAAACTGATACAGCTTTAGCCTTTAAACCTCAGGTCACAAAATGGCTTCTGGTCCGCAATGAGAAATGATATTACTTTGGTTTTGTCTAGTTAGCAATGATCATTAATATCAAGGCATCTTCGAGAGCTTCTCAAATCTGATGCGGAAGGTTTTCCCGCAAATAGACTTCAAAAGTATTGATGTATCATTAAAGAACGTAGATAATATGACTCGACATGTGTATACGGTTCCAATCACCATCTGAAATTCGAACATTTTGAGTAGGAATATTTAGTTGATTGTTAAATGTCGACGTGGACTTCAATATTGCTGATGTATCATTATAAAATGTCGGTGAAATTTTTTCTTGACTGGTGTCGATACATTGAAAAGATAAGGATGGGTGTATGGTTCCAATCGCCATTTGGAATTCGAACAGTTTTTGAGTGCGAATCTCTCGATTTAGTTGATGGTTAAATATGGCAAATATTTTGAAGTTTGTTGGGATATTTAGAAAGGGTTGACATGTCTGTGCTATTTGTGGGATAACTGTTTTTGAATCAGGTTTTTCGACAATCGCTATTTGAATCCATCTGTAGAAGGCTATCGGGCTTCCATATAGACCATAGGTTCTCAAAGAGCCGCAACTTGAATATTTTTCAAATACAAAGCAGCAAATACATCCGAGTCATTAAATAAAATAATTTTAATTTCCCCAGGAACATTAATTGATGAGTAACAATGCGTTTCTATATTGTGGGGTTCCGTGAAAGAACAGGCACTTTTTCCATGGGCTCCATAATACATAACGTTTGAGAACCTCTGATATAGACAGTAAGTTAGGAATCGATATGAATATATATCACCCTTGATAGAAAACCAGCTGTATTTCCTCACCCCTGGCAGACATTTATTTTAAATTTTCCTTTTTAATGTTTTGCGACATTTCTGAATATTTTATTCATAGCGTAACGACCAATGTGTTTATTATATATGTTTGGTTATGTTGCTTTGTGACCAGACAATCAAAACGTGCACAATTGAGCTGGTCGTATTGTTACGAAACACGTGATGAATATATACCATTGTTGAATTGTATCCTATTGTGCGGTAACACAAGGATCACGACAATCTTGAGTGAAAGCTTTTGTTCAACTTTACTATTATAAAAACCAGAAATTACATTCGAATTCAAAGGTAATTCCATGTTTAAATGTGAGAAATACATCGGAATATTAAAATAATCTAGTTATTTTTCGAATTGTAAGGACAGCAAGACTTTAAATACGCTCTAATTTGCGTTTTGCTGTAGTTTAAATCTACTTGCTACATTTTACGATTTTACTAACATCAGTAATTGGAATCAAAGAATACATGCCACGCCAAGCATGGTGCATGGTACCATTAGGTTGATTATGCGTCAATCATGTCCGATATTGCGATACGAAAGTGTGGACACCACTGAGGAGTCGATGTTTTCATTCCGCGCCGAGCATAACAACAAGGCATCTTTATTTGAATTCACAAAGTTTGACCAGTTCTAGCTATTTTCGTGGTCGCTTGTAACTTTGCTTAGAGGAGAGTCTTTTTTACTTTCGAGTTAAAAATAAGGTGGCAATTCATATTACTGAGTGCGCGTAATATACCACCATAATTCTAGATAGTTTCAATATCTCTTGGTATTCTGGTGGTTGGCTGTAAATAATCTAAGGGATGAGTTTATTTTTGAGTAATCGCGCGTAATGGCATTCCAGTGATCGTCCGTAACTTTGCTTGGAGATGAATCTGTTTTACTTCTGAGTAGGCCTGGGCATTTTCGAATATCTCTTGATCCCAGAATCGAATCGAATATATTTTTCGAATCGAAACGAATCTTGAAAAATATGTAATTGTATGTGACTTTTTATTGTGATGGGACAGACACATAAATCATCGAAAACACGTAATCTATCACTAGGACAGTTCGATGAGTAGAAACACGCAGCAAGAAACATGTTTCACCAATAGGAAGGTAAGATTCATATGTCAGAATTGCATTTTTGAAATATAGCTTGATAAAAAATACGAGGAATTCACCTCGACCTGCAGGCGGATAACAGAAAACAAGATGGCGTCGATTCGAAATTCCCGGTTAAACCCTACGTTCTGAGTGCGGACAATAATGTTACGAATCTATATAATAAATTATGTCAGGTTTTGGTAGTTTTTGGTATTCCATTGGTTTCCTTTAATTTGGTCTTATCGCAGGAAAAAATATTATTACATAATAATTGAATAATAATTTTACAATGATTGGGATTGGGAATAATATTTAAATAAATTTTATTTCGATTGGAAATATATTCGGCGAGTAAAATTAATATTAGATAATAATGGGATTATTATTTTTGCAATTCTTTTATTTCCATTTCAATTTTATTGGCGGAAAGATATGATTACGTAATAATGCCATTTATTTTCCGCATTTGTTTTGTTTTGTTTCAATATTCATTTGGCGCGAAATATATTATTATATAATAATGTGATTAATATTTCAAGCAGATATTAATTTTGATTTAAACTAGTTAGAAAAATATTATAGTTGCGTCATAATGGGTTTATCTTCAAGCGTTTTTACGCGGGAAGAATTGGAAGAATACGCGGATCTGACGTATTTTACGGAAGGAGAAATTATCGAGTGAGTACGGAACCGTGTGGTATGCTAATGTTTTGAAATTTGAAAAATCTTTCAGATTTATCAGAGGGTGAGGAAAGTCGATAAGACGGATTAATAATATAGCAAACCACGACCTCTTGTCTGCTCACCGTTCATGTCAGTCGTGTATTTTTTTATATTTGTTTTAGAATTTTCTGGGCGTTGTCAATGTCATGGTATTAGAATGTTCTGAAACGAGGATATGTTTTTTTATCCCGAGCGAGAGGAAAGCCGCGAAAGCTGACACAGATAAGAGAAACAATATACAGATTCATTTTCATTCGTTTAATTTGATATTTTCATCCAATTTTCAGTTTGCACAAGAAATTCATGTCTTTGGTCGATGACGACTCGAAAGATAAGAAAAGTTCCCGAATCAGTAAAGAACGAATGATGGAACTGCCTGAGATTAAGGTTCGTAAGATAACGCTATAATTTGATCTGAGAATCCTGCTGCAACACATTTGTATTTTTGCGTTTCCTCTAAACCAGTGGTTCTCAAACTTTTTAGACCGCACCCCTTTTTAGAATTTGTTAGGTCTCGCGCCCCACCTAATAAATAACTAGCTAACAGTGAGCTGGAAATACCAGACAGTAAGGTGGGAGTATTTTTTATCCCAAAAAAACGTGGACGAAACGTAAATAATGAAATAAATGGAAAGTTTCGAAATGGTAATATCCAAAATAAGGCGGTCAATATCAAATCTAGCAAGTATTTTTATTTTTAATTACTTTCACCCCCTTCAAAAAAATTCTCAGCGCCCTCCTTGAGGGGCGTGCCCCACCGTTTGAGAACCACTCCGCTAGATTATAGGTTCCCAACCAGGAAGAAAATATTGCTTTTCATTCTCTGTAGGTTTACTAACATTATTTAGTATTATTGTAATACCTATTTATGCATACATCGTAAACTATTTAAACTGTGTAAAAGCCTAAGTGTGGCTTACACGTAACGGATGCGTTATAGCAGGGGTCGGCAAACTACGGCCAGCGGAGCAATATAATCCGGCCCGCGACGCTCCACTTAATTATAGTAACAAAACAGCAGTTTTGACGATTATATTCTTTACGTGACAGAATTTATTTTGAGACACGTGTAGAATAAATTATATTATGACTTAACAAGTATATAATTCACAATTACTTGTTTATTGAGCCGATAACTTGATTATAATTAGACAAATGGCAACAAAACGCAGAAAAGTTGATGATTGATGCTAATGGTTTAATGGCGCGGAAAATATTCAAATGGTCAGTCTTCATGGGCTGCTTAAAATATAATTTCTGATCTGTGTGAAGAAAATGGGTTTCGGCAGCCCTCTGTTCGGTTTTTAACTTTCTAAAAATGTGTTCGGCCCGCCAAATGTCTTGCAACCTTTAATTTTGGCCCGCAAGCGACAAAAGTTTGTCGACCCCTGCGTTAAAGATTCAACAAATAATCGGTAGTGAAATAGGAATAAGGGAATCCGAAATAGGCAAATAAATGAAACATTGAAAAAGGTTGGAGACCCAGGTGCCGACATATTAATATCAGCTGTTGAACACGAACATAAATTGATTTCCACAGTAGTTTGCAACTAAATATCAATAACAATCATCCTTTTATTCTTTCAGTTCAATCCATTTGCTGACAGGTTGTGCGACGTTTTCTCGACCAGTGAGGAAGAGGACAGTTCCATGTCGTTTGATGATTTCCTAGACATGATGAATGCGTTGTCAGAAAATGCTTCGTTCAAATTGAAGGCTCAGTACGCGTTCAGGGTATTTGGTGAGAGTTTGGTTATTTCAATGTATACCTATGTAACAAGGTATCTGGGTGGTGACCGTACATTTGAACCCATATGTATATCCGCGGGTTCAATCTATATGCGGTGCTAAAACCCATGGGTTAGGGTTAGTATGGATTCAAATATCCGTAAAACAAAAAATAAATCCATGGGTGCAATAGTATGTAGGTGCAATTGTCGTGGGTTCAAATATGATGGAACCATCTGGAGTGCAAGTTCCCTGGGAACACTATCTGATTGCTAACTCCATAGCAGATGTCACTCAAAATTACGTCATTTTATCCCCGGTGATGATTTATGACCTCTGCCCTGAGATAGTGAGAACTGTTCCTAAAAGATGAAGAAATGCTGGAAGTTTGGTTAGCGTATACTCTACCACCAAAGAAAAGCATAGCACAGATGAAAGAAATTCCATTCAGGGTATTCTAACCAATAGTGTTAGTTCTCTTAGGCTGCGCATTTCAAACATTTTTTTCGTACCAAATTTGGAATAATTCCCATTCTACTGTTGTTCGCATGTGGAAAAACCAGTGTGCGTTGTTTACAATTTTTCGGATCAAAGAAATTGAAATCTTCCCCTGAATGGGATTTGTGTCTCCATTGAAAGGGTCGAAATGAAGGCGACACAACTTAATTCTATTTTATCCCTTTTGTCCCTCAAAATTGTGAGAATCATAAGCAATATTACGTGTATAGAAACAAATAGAATTCCTTCGTATTTGTCTAAAGAGAGAGAGTGGACGATGCGATAGCTTAGACATCGTACGAACCATAGTCTGTTGTAAATTAACAGGGTAAGTCTGGAAAGGAAATTGCTAGCCAGTATGCATTCCAGATGCATGTATTTGAGATGGTAGAATAAGTCCCAATTAACCAGGGGCGTCAACAGTGGGGAATTCAAAATCGCTTTTCGCATAATTAATCCCCAGGATTTTGTTGTGGTATAAATAGGGATGATGCATCATGGACGTTAGACCACGGTTCACGCACTTCATCGACTTTCATCTCCCCCAGAAAAAAAACATTATACTGCTAACCTAGGTTGTAATTCAACCATTTCATTGCATTTCCTCTCCTACGAAACATATTCGAATCCCATTGTTTTCAGACATCAATGAGAACGGCTTTGTCGACCCCGAGGATATTGAAGAGATTGTGATGAGGCTGACGAAGGATGAAGGGCTCGGAGAAAAAGAACTGATGGACGAACTTATTGAATCGGTGAGAGTTTTTTACATTCGTACTTCGTAACAATCGGGGTTTTCATAATTGACCATTTTAGGGTACTCCCGTAGTACATGTACCCGGTTAGGGTCTTTTATTGTGATTTTCCTTGAGGTTTCCGGTCGAAGTGAGAATATTTTATTTCTATTACGAGTTCAGGGACTGTATGTGTTGCCAAGTGAATATAGCCCTTGGTTTTAGTCCCTTTACACAACTAGATGTAAAGTAGGCAAACAAAATTAGTTACCTACATATTGGTGCACATACATCTGAACCGTTTATTTAGGATAATTTTAGTGTTAGGGTGGCGCTCGAGTTATTACTCCGACTCGAGTCACCTAAACAAAAGGACTCTGACTCGTGATTGCACTGGCATAATCGGAGCAGTTTCAGTATCTCTTGGCGGCGCTCCAGAAGTTTCGTGCCAATATGTCGCAAAACCTGAACAACACTAACCTGGTACACATACAATGTTCAGGTTGTGCGCCATCTTAGTACAAATACTTCGGGAGCACCCTCTTGGCATTCTAGTTATTGCCCATAACCTTCCACAACGATGAGTCTCATTTACTCTTGAGAAAGTGCGCGTAACTTTGCCTCGAACAAATTCTTATGTGCATTTTGAATCGAATATTCAAATCAAATAGTAAATAATTCGAATCGGTTCAGACCAAAAGTTCGAATTGCCGCCATCTTGTTTTTTTCTGTCTGTCTAGTAACGAGTTGAATATTTTAACTTTTTTTTATCGAAACTATATTTTTACAATATAAATCTGACCTATATATGGCTTCACTTTTTAGTTAATTATTGATGGAACATATATTTTTTATTATGCGTGAAAACCCAACAAACTGAGTGAAGGATTTAAAGTTCTCATTAAGGCAGAAACATACATAAAAAGATATAAAAGTAGAAACTAAACTTCGACGAATTCTCTATTTCAGATGATGGTAGAAGCCGATCTAGATAAAGACGGTCAGTTATCCTTGGCCGAGTTAGAACATGTTTTGTCGAAATCAGCGGACTTTATGAAGTAAGTAAGAAGGTTTTATTGCCCCTCAGTGCAAACTTGTGTTCAACGCAAAGTCTAATCGAGTATTTCTCAACCTATGCGTCGCGACTAGGACTGGGCATTTCGAATCGAATATTCGAATCAAATAGTGAATTATTCGAATCGGTTGGGACGAAAATGCCCAGCCCTAGCCGCAACCCAAAACTGGTTCGCCTAAAAATCTTTTTGGGTCGCCAGTTTTTCCGACAAAAATATTTTTTTGTTGATTTTGATCGGTAAGTATGTTGATGGGTATTTGTCTGTCTGTTAGATGCACGCGATATCTCACGAAAGTTAGATTGAATCTACTCCAGATTTTGCATGTGCATTCATCATATGTCGGACCAGAAGCCTATTGATTTTGGATAAATTATGTCGTATAATTAGCGAGTTATTAAGTAATTAGTTATGAGACACAAGGTGTCACTATGAAGTAAGAGCGCTGTTTTGGGGATCCCCTAACTTTCGATCGATAAGTCTTCGGTCTCTGACCGATATTCTCGTTTTATTATTAGTATTGCTAAATCGTAATTTTGTACGTGGGAAGTGTCACAACATAAAAACTTGCCAGCATCTATTTTGCTTTTGGGTCAGGGTCGTCCAACCCGTGGCCCGCGGGCCACATGTGGCCCGCCGAAAATTTTTGAGTGGTCCGCGCTGTCTTATTCGAAGCCCGATGTTTTTTTAGAAACCTGAGCCACTATTGAAACCTCTAATAAAAAAATGAATTATTTCTCGTCGTTCAAACGCGCGATAAGCACCAACGAGCTATCGGAATCTTTTTAAAGTCTCTTTGCGGGCGTTATTGTCTGAGAGAGATGTTTAAATTTCATTTTTATTGTCTGCTGTGTATTTCAATCTGTTTTACTGCTTTTTTTCTGTAAAGCTAAAAGAGGCAGTTTTCATGACCTCAATTTTTGACAGCACTTACATATACGAGCAAGTTTTTTCACGGATGAACCATGTCGAATCCCCGTGATATCACGAATTTTTAACATTCATATGAAAAATTCGCTTCGCATTTCTACATCGCCCGTCGCACCTATTCTTGACAACTTTGTATAAAATCAGTTCATACTTCACATTAGAATTTCTATGGATGGTAAAAACTTTTGACTTTACTGTATCTTCGTATTTTCATTGTTATTATTGTTTTGGTGTCAGGCTGTTTTTTCATTAACCTGTACTCGGTGTAGTGAAAACTAGAACATAACTACCATGACAAGTTGCCCGCGCAATCATTCGTAAACTAAAAGTGGCCTTTCCGCCAAAAAGGTTAAACAACCCTGTTTAAGTGAACCCACGCCACGATTTCAAAAACTCGCTGATGGTAAACAAGCGCAACTTACCAACTTTGAATTAATTTCTTTTATTTTCCATCTACAGCTCATTCAAGATACGGGTCTAAGGGAATCCCGCTGTAAATGTGGAATCAATGAAGCGACAACAACCGTTGCCATGGAGATACCACCCACCTCTGATTTAGCTGCCTCAATCACAAATAGCAATCTATAAACTGAGTCACGTGAAGTTATATATTCTCCCCGACAAAGGCCCGCAATAAGCAGACACTGACACCTAGTGTACATTTTGGGGATCGGGATCGCTTATTATGTTCCATTTCTCCAGTATTTAAAATATTTTTTATTCTTGAAATTTTATATAAAATTCGTTCTTTGCACTTCTCTAGTAAAATAATCGTACAGAATATTCTGAAGATTCTCATAAATAAAGACGGCATAGTTATGACGTCATCCGCTTATTTATATTTTGTTTTATATACTTTTTTTTCGAATAATCAATGATACATTCACCAGTAACCCTGGCTTCCCCCGCACAGGGGGTGCAAAAAGGTATTTATAAAATAAATACAACCTAAATAATAAAATTTAATTGAACATGCAAAGGTATGACACGTCAATATAAAGAAAAAGTTCGGCTTATTCAGCTGAAGAAATATAATAAATGATTGGTATACATTGGATCTTGATAAACATTGTTTTGATTTCAACGATTTGTTGACATACTTCAAACGTGGTAAAAAAGCCATTTTCCTGATGGCAAAACAGTCGATCTACTCGCTTTGTTATGACAGAATTGGACACGACTTAATCGGATCGGAATAACTCATTTAAAAAAGAAAATTATCAGCAAAGTCATGCACTCGCTCAGAAATAAATGAGAACCATCTCTAAACGAGGAAGAACGGACGATCACAGAAATCTTAATAGCTACGTATATTCACTCGGATATTAAGAAGACTCATCTATGAGCGAGATTATTGGTGGCCACTGAAATGCCAAGAGCTATTGCTCACTTTGAATTATGGCGGGAAGTTAAGGAGACTCTGAGTGAGGATATTGATGGGCTTCTGAAATGCCAGGAGGTATTTTGCTCGCAGTACATTCCGATTGGCGCGAGACTTGAAACAGATCAAAGCAGAATCGGCAAACGTGTCAATCCCCAATTAATAGTGAAGAACAACTTGAGATTGTATTGCATTTTTTGTTTTCCCGCAAACGCGCTTATTACTCGTATATCTACAATTCTGTTTTTTTTTTTCACGATTTCAGCTACTTTTTATTGCCCACTAGCGGTTTATGCTTAGAATTCTATGATTCCACGGCCAGTTGAGATTTCATCGCTGATAATGAGGAGTCGTATTTCGCTCTGGAGCGGAAATAAATGTTTTTTCAGACAAATATAATGAACGTTTGCTCTTATAACGAAATTTTTGTTGTAATTATTGGAATTTCTGTCGTACTCAAAGTCATTGTGGCGCAACCGGTGTCAGAAAAGTAGTTTCCGATTTTCATTCAGAAAACTTCATCAGAGCATGACATAGTGAAAACACTAGCGTATATATGAATAGTATAGAAAATTATCAAGACGCAATATCTCACCTATAACACAATAGCATGATTTAATAGATCTGTGCAATTTGCAACACTGGACAGGGTGTCCATAAAACCATTTACAATTTCAATTTTGTTATGAAGTCAGTTCTCAATATATCTAAAACCAGGTTCGTTGTTTTTTAATCAGTAATTGTTCAAGTAATTTTACTTCATTCAATACGCCTGTGAGAGTCAAAACAATATATGGTATCGATAAATTCCTTTTGCAATTTTTAAAAATTTTGAGACTATATGCACACCCTATATATCTTCAGTAACAATATATCCGATGACAAGCATACAGCGCCCTCGGAGTTTTTTGTCTGAAAGAGTGCAAATCCGTGACAAATCTCACACATTATAACAGATTCAAACAAAATATTAGAAGTGATAAATATGAATTTATGAAAATATAAAAGTGATTTTCCCAGCTCTGGAAAAAAGAATATTTTCATAGACATTCAGCAAAATGACCTACATGTATACTTCGTGCCCTAAATTTTGCTGTTTTATTTTAATTCATTTCAACACTTTTATATAATTTTGACCGCCTTGCCTTGTCCACATATTTGAGCTCATCGCTCTCTTGGCTCGGCAGTGTGGCGCATCGTGCTAAGCGTTAGGAATACGCTCGCCACCGCATCTCTGATTACCTTTCGTGGGATTGCAGGTTTGAGTCCCATGCGGGGATGATCATGTGCGAGAGGATTGCTGGACTCCTCGTCGCCGTAGGGTGGTTCACGTAACCGCTGGTCGGTTACGGCTTCCTCCACCATCAAGTCCATGCTTCCGAAAACAAATAAATATGTAAATCCTATCCTGCTATTGTATGTTTTTATATTCCTTATCTGTATGAACATATTATTTTAAGCGATACCAATGGTTTCCCACCCTCTCTGGTGGAGCGAATCCTCAATAAACAATTCAGAAGCTCGAGGAAACCATGTGCAACAGTTTAATTGTCTGGATTGTAATTATATATAAGCAAACCTAATACTGGCAAAACAAAATGGGACCTCCAGAAGTATGCGCACCAAGATGGCGCACAACCTGAACATAGTATGTGTGTACTGGTTAGGATTCAGGTTGTGCGACATCTTGGTGCGCATACTTCTAGAGTACCACAAGGATATCCAAAGCGTAGTTTAATACAAGTTTAATAATAGTGGCAAACCTAATTATATATATATTTGAAGGATTTGGATGTAAACTTGCAGAATCTTTGGAGTGCACTGACGGAAGCCCAATTAAAAACCACTGCTCTCAGTTGATTTTTCATTCATTCATTAATTTTCATTTCATTCCGCAGTTTGAGCCGTTTCAGGCCTTTTTTTTTACATGAATAGTGACTTGAGTCCCACATAGCCATAAACATGTCTGTACCTGAAGTCTGGTCGCAACTCATGATTGTTATTCCTGGCAGAAAAATAAGCCGAAATTTGTTCATTCATGTGGCATAGGTAATAGAGCGTGGCAATTTGAAGGCATGGCAGAAATAGGTTCTGTCGACCGTATCGGATTTTCTATCACTATCTCGTACTTTTTTATCGAATTTTATTTTTGGAAAATTGGAACACTCTATCGAGCTGATCATTTCAGCAAACTCGGTACGGAAGAGCCTGAAAATTTTTGGAGTTTGCTAAAAGGCAGTATGTAGGTGGTCGGGCTATTCGGAATCGGAATAAAAAAGTGTTCCCTTAATCAAAATAAAACAGAATATTTAGGGAAACATGGAAAAACTTGATTCTAATACGCTTGTCCGCCGATCATTTCAGCGAACTCGGTCGGTAACGGTGGTAAAGTCCGAGATTTCAGGGTTTGCTGAAAAGCAATACGTTAGAGGGTATTCGCAATGAATTGTTCCCTGATAAAAATAAAACAGAATATTCAGTGAAATATCGGGCCCCATAGGACTTTTCCTCTGAAATCTTGAACATTTTTTGTCCTACATCAGAACCCGTTTGTCCTTTAGTTGCGGAGAAATGCGATTCAACAACAACAACAACATTTAAATCAATAATAAAAATAATAATTTAACAAAACGATTCATTCGTGTTCAATAAAGAGAGTCGTTTTTGGAAAGGCCGCCCGTGAAAATATTTTAATAAGAAATTTTATCACCGGTACGCAGTGCGAAAAAGGTTTCCGACACCTGATGCAGCCAAAATACCTGAAGTATGTACCGATCGATAGACACACGCCTAACATGTAGGATTAAACATAATCAGTAGATAAACGTTACTGGACAAAATAATCCCGCGTTTAAATATTTAAAATCATATTGATTATGCGGTAATACACATCGTCAGTTCAATTATCACGTACAAAACGTAATAATTAGCAACTAAAGGATCAGCATAATCAGCCCGCGCAGAATATATTAGCATTTCAGGATAATCTTGGCAGAAGTCTCAATCGGGGATAAACTCTCACTTATATTGGGGGGGGCTGCTAGAAACGATGAAGTGTGCCTTTGGCCACGTAGCTGATTGCTCTCTATCGCTCAATACATGTTATAATTCTCTCGCTGCGGGAGAGTAGTATAGCTACAGCACTAGTTCTTCATGTTTCTCCCGCGGATGGCTTGATTTTACGATATTTTTCGGAGGAAGTCGAGTAAGACACACGGGGAAGATCTGGAATGAGCAGGGGCCGCAGGTGGATATGAAAAATAGGAAATAAAGCGGTTATAGTGATGAAAAAACAATAGATTAGAATGTGTATCAGTATACTTAAAGCAAGGTGTCGAGCCTTTAACTAAAAGTGGAAAGAGTACTAATTGGAAGGATTGCATGAAGTCACGTTGGTAATATATAGTATATATAGGATAGGATTTACATATTTATCCCGGGGGAGAGGAAAGCCGATAGGACGGCTTAATCATATGGCAAACCACGGCCTCTCGTCCGGTTACCACTCCAGGTCGGGTATGGGATTAGTTAGCCAGTTAATTGTTTTTCGGAAGCATGGACTTGATAGTGGAGGAAGCCGTAACCAACCAGCGGTTACGTGAACCACCCTACGGCGGCGAGGAGTCCAGCAATCCTCTCGCACATGATCATTCCTGCATGGGATTCGAACCTCCGATCCCGAGAAGGGTAATCAGAGATGCGGTAGTGAGCGTATTCCTAACGCTTAGCACGATGCGCCACATATAACTGAGTTTACTATGAAAAGGTACCGATCCCCAGTTAAAGATTTTGCAAAGAATATAATGCAGCAGTTGCATATATTAGGTTTATTTTGGGGACAAAGACAAAGCAATCAAAACAATTAAGGCAGGCAGGTAAGTAACTGTGTATATGTGTGGCGACGAGAGGGCGCAAAGCATAAAAAAATGTTGTCGATAAAGAGTAACTCATTCAATCTAATTAGGTCCTTCAATGCTAACGTCGAATAGCCGATTATACGACACCCAATTCAAAGTTCTTGTCCATTTTTCATCCAGTCAACACATTGTTCAAAGTATCTCCCCTAGAAATACGAATGTCGACCATATTCTACAATTAGTGAAATAACTTAAGGGAGTCAACTGTACAACTGTTTACTGATAATGTTGAAAGTCATCGTAAAAGACAGTGGATTTCAAACTCTAAAATTTCAATTTCTTTTAAATTATTCATTTGAACCTCGGTTGGCGCAGCTCAATAACCAGCTTTGGTTTCCCGTGACTTCTCTTCCCCAGTAAAACTGTGTCTTTATTATTTTCTCGTAATTTGTGTTCGATTGTTGTTGATTTTTCTGGTTGGAAAAAATAAACTTGACTAGACTTGTCACGCCGGTTTCTCAATTTCTACTTACCTATAGCCTTGTTCGTAGAGAACGTACGAAACACACACAAAGGCGACGATAATGATTTTCAAATCCATGTTAGACATAAATAACCCGCAAACACAACCAATCGATAACAGAGGCTAATTTCATCTCAGCGGGGGGTCGTTTGACCCGGAACAAGGTTTTGAGAATTAAGATAGGGACATGCTTGGCCATATATACGAATTTATGGTACAATTAGGCTTCGATTATTGCTTTGCCAAGCTTGGGACAGAGATGAACGATGAAAACACCGGAATTGTTGGGTTACGCTATCCATACTGAAATCTACGTAGAAGGTTAAACATGAGCTTTTGGATTTTCAGTGGTCGGTTGCAAATTTATTGTTAGTTTGAACTTTCCACTTCCAGTTAAGGGTTTGGCACCTTACTTTGAGTAAACTTGAATTAAATAGAAATTTTTTCCAAAAAATGTCCGAAAACTAAACGTTTTATTTTCACAGTATCACAATTTATTATGTATAACCAAGTATTAGTATTCCACATAATTGCAGTCGTTGATTCAAACGCTAGTTAACGTACAAGTGTTTGTGTGTTGGAAGGATTTCAAGGGACACGGGGAAAGTTGAAAAATACACAGGGCCGGCCACAGCTATTGCGGGCCCCATGTGAAGTGAATTGGTCGCCAAGAGCAGTCACAGAATATTAAGGTTTTTAATGAGAAATAAATTCGTCTTTACATTTTACCGAAGGAAAAAATTACGAATAAAGTATCTTAATTTCACGAGTCTTGCGCCTATAGCGAAGAAATGCAGTATACCATCGAAACTATACAATATTTCAATTTATAGTTTTCTAATTTAATATTCAAATCCTAGAATTTGCGCTGGGCCTGGCAGAGGGCGAGCCCCACTGCGGTGTCATACGTTGCCACAAGGATAATTATGCGGCCCGCGGAGAAGTGCCCATCTTGAATGGCGTGCGGCCCGCAAAACGTGATTTTAATTTAGTTTAGTCAGGTACATGCGAGCAATTCCTTCGCGTTGCAACGCCAATACATGTGTCCAATTTATTATCTATGCCTATGACGTTACAATGCCCTAACAACTAGTTTGTGCGAAGCGAATGATGCATGTCATGAGATCAATAACGGACATGTTTGTGCTTGCAATTACTAGAAATCCTAAGTTAGATAAAGGTGCGGCCCGTGGTTTCACCCAGTTATTTGTACCCTACTGTATTAAAGGTTACATACCCCTGCTTTAACCGATAGGCCATGGTTGATAGCTCGGATTAGGGCAAAATAAAACAGGTTTATACACAGCGCTGTTAGCTGAATTTAGTTTAGTGCCGAGGTGGGCAAGATTTTAAGACATGGGGCCAAAACCTGCCCATCTAGATTGGCGGATCATGTAAGTGTGATTTAAAAGATACATTTAATGAACATAATTACAGTGTTGCAAAAGCAAAAAACAATAGGTCTCATGCCAAAACAAAATTAGTCGCGCAATCCCAACAAATTCCTTGAGCTATTTTTAGCTAAAACCTCAAAATTGGGTTTCTGTTTGGTTGTGGCAGCGTCAGGCGGGTAATAATGAATTACCCAGTGGGCCGGATTTTAGCCGCGGGCCTTAGTATGCCCATGCCTGGTTTTGATTGAAAACATGGTTTTGAATAATCAATTATGCATAATTCCACTAATTGTCCTAATCCGCGTTAAAGAACTAATCACAGAAAATAAATTAGGAGACCATCTGGCTATGTATGCACGGAGATCATGCGTAAGCAATCGTGAATAAATTAGTCAACACCGGGAGAGAAAGTGGGTGAAATATAGTTTTGACAAATTCTTGTTGTTATTAGGACGGACCGCTCCTCCGCGCCGAATGAAGCAATCAACTTCAAACGTTTAGTTGTTGAAGATGCAAGAAGTCGGTGGAAGGCTATTACTTTTATTTTAGTTTTTTTCAGGCCGTTTGGACAGGGTCGCAAAAAGGGCAAAAGGTTTAAATCGTAAAATAATTCCAAATGGGAAATAGTTGAAAACTCGTGTTTCACTCAAATAAAAACGTACAAGTATCTCATCTCAACAACAATTGTCAGTCAACGGGACGCGTTTTTAAACTTTGCCATGTACACAATTTGACGTAGACGTAACACTGATCCTCATAAAAGGATATTTACAAAGTATAGGACTCTACTATAATTGTAGCATAAGTTAAAAATCCCGTTTTTATCTCCATGTGTTGGCCATGACTACCTTACTCTGAATGTAATAAAATGGATAGATAATACTGTAGCGAATGTGGAATATAACTATGAATTTTAATGGGTACTCCCGAAGTATGTGAACCAAGATGGCGGACACCGGAACGTAGTTTGTGTACCAGGTTAGGGTTAGGACATAACTTCAAATACTACGGGAGTAACTTGGCTAGTCCCCGAACTCGTAATAGAACTAAAATAAGAAAAATTGGAAGAAAACTATGCCCTAACCCTAACATGGTACACATACTACGTCCCGGTCTCCGCTATCTTGGTTAACATACTTCGGTAGTACCTTTTAAAGTTATTGGGGAGTGCTGCGATGAATCACCATCGGGGAAATTATTGGAGTGACCTGTTTTTGTTGAAATCAACACGCTATTAGTACGAAGGAGTTAAATAACAATAAAATCCATAGTTATAGTTCACAATCGCTACAATACCAAACTGGAAACTATCCGTTCTTTGAACAATTACATCAGCTCGTTGCCTAGCAATAACAAAGCCTTGTTCGGAGGCTTGTAAAGACGTCATATTAAAATGTGACGGTGCATAATATTATTTTTCCAACTATTTCAGTATTAGCATCTACCTATTTTGTAAGATTTACCCCACAATGACAACCCGGAAATTCTCACGTGGAGCAGTTCTACCCGAGCCCACGACTCTACAAGGACAGAAGAAGTAAGTTGTGTTATCGTTCGCTAAAATATTGTTATCTTGTTAGGAAAAGATTGCATTTCTTTGTACGATTTCGTAATAAATCATCTGACCTTATTGAATAAGTCGCTACAGGTCAAGTACTTTTAATTTTTACCAAATTCCCATCAGTCTTGCCCGATAATTCATCCCAAATTAGCCACCTTTGTACATCATGCACATTCCTTTCGTGTGGCATTCGGTTCCGGGACCGGCAAACTCTATGCTTATTCAATCAAAATGCTCAAAGTATTTGTTTGAATGACGTCAATTCATACGTCATAGTTATGACGTCGTAAAAATTGTAGCCACTATTTTTGGATCAGGCATACCTTGTGTGCGATCTCTAGTTTATAAAGCCAGTTAAATGTTCCCTAACGACGCCGTAGTTTTCCAGTGAATTTCTGCCCAGACGTTGGCGCCAAAGACAGAATAAATATCAGCATTCACAGTAAATGGCGGGGACGGGACCGGCTTTTTCAGGATTACGAGAATTTCAAATTGCAAAAAAACTTCACGGCTCTGTGTACTGATTTCCCGTGTTCTGGTATATATATTCGAATATGCTCCTCAGCTTTTCATTTTGGTGGGGAACGAGGGAACTGTTTATAACTTATGAAAATATGGGGTGGGGTGTTCACCACCAGTAGAGGGGGAGGGTGTAGGAAAATCACTGAATTCAGTCTGTGACACACTGGAACGTTTTCATTATTATTTCTTGACAAAAATACCCGGTTATTTCAGCTTCCCCGGTTACGGTTCTCAGCATTCGGTGTTCTCAACCTCGTCCCATCCGGTCAATATTCAGACGCCTGTGAGTAAATTTGCCATGTTTTCGAGGACCAAGCAGAATCTTTCAGATAGTAAGTATATACGAAATATTCTCTTATATTCGAAAGTTTAAACAATTTTGCCATGCTTGCCCAATCGTCAGCGTGTTTTCCAAACCCTTTTGATGTCATGACTCGTGAGCTGAAGATCGCACACGCTGTGGGCACACAGTGCGGAGAAATAAATTGAAAGTGTCGAACCTATACGATTCAGGTTATTCCACATAGCTTTACCTTTGTTGTTCATCCAGGCGGCATTCTAGGTAGGCTTCTGAAATTAGGACGGGGTACAGGGATGGAATATTATTTTATTGTGAAGCAAGAATTACGCGTGGGTCTGCTTGTATTACTTATCAAATTACCCGCAACAAACACAGAGCCTTCGCACAATTGTTCAGCACGAAGTGCTTGAAATAAATATTTTCATCAATATAACATTTCAGATTGTTAATAGTTAGTGAATATATTAAAATTTAATTTGATATGAGATTTCTAGGGGTTTGATCCGTCTTGAGGGCGCCTGAAAGAGAAACCATGGTCTTATTCTTGTCTTACTTATGTCTATATAATAACATTACAACATTTTTAGAATATTTGTTACGATTTTTGTTAAGGTGTCCAATATATGGCGAGACACCAAGCGCTTCCATCGTCCGATATAAAGGAAGCGAAAAGTTACACAGCCGGGGTAAGTTGATAACTTAATATGTTTGCCGTGCTAGAAGCCCAAACTATGCGACAATGTCGGTTAAATGAAAGATAGATTTGGACATTTTTGATTGCTGAATCTGATCACGAAAAAAGACTAATTTCTAAGCGAAGTGACGTGTAAGCACTGAGATGCCAACAGCTTCTGTAACTACATAGTATTATGGAGACGCATTATGCGCACTCAGTCAGAAGCAAAGGATACTTATTTCTCGGTAAAGTTATGAACAACAACTAAAATACTAAGAGCGACTGTTGCTTCATAGACTTATTATGGAAGACGCACTCATCAGAAATGAAGGAGACTCGCGACTGAGTGAAGTTATGGTTGAAAGTCATATCGGGAACGCCCAGTAAAATTCCTTCAAATGGCTTTGAGGCTGCAAGAGTTCTCCCCGCCATTGTTAAATCGTACAGTTGTTTACCATATAATTTTACGCCGTCTTGTAGGCTTCCCGCTCTTTAGAATAAATAAACATTCAAAACATTGTTTCAACCAGGAGTTTGATCGGCAAGAAATATCAGCAATTGATAACGATGAAGAGTCAGTAGCAGCAGTCAGACTGAGATACGTGAGTAGCTATATGGGCATGACGCGTACATATTGTTGTTCTTAGTGTTGTTGTTGGGATAAAATCGCAATGGATCAATCGATTTAATATTTTCATAATTCCAAGATGGTGGGCATCGTTTGAAAGCTATTACTTTTCATGAATGTCATCATTTTATTACTTACTTTTCTGAGTCTCTTGGGCCTTTTTTCACCAAATTTTGGCCCTAGTTTAATTCAAGGAAACAATTTTTTTACATTTAATCTTGGCACTCCGCCAGTCGTCAGGCCTTCCTCCAGTGAAAATCAATCGCCCACGAACAAGACAAGCAATGCTATATTACTCTATTACTTACTTTTCTGAGTCTCTTGGGGCCTTTTTTTACTAAGTTTTGGCCCTAGTTTAATTCAAGGAAACAATTTTTTTTACATTTAATCTTGGTCCTCCGCCAGGACGGTATTGAAATACCTCTTGCATCGCCGCGAAACTATGCCAAAACGTTGCATTCTGGCAGCTGCACACGCAGCCGGGATTATAATTTCAAAAATGTAAGTAAAAATTCTTATTTGGACTTTTACTTCTATAGCGTATACATTTATCGCCACGTTTGTATCTCCACCAAAGTCATAATATTCTAACCGAAATGTTTATCCGAGATATCAAAGAGACGTTTGGAGTAAGAAAAATCATGAAACTTAGCTCACGAGCCTACTACAAAAGCAATTAGATCAAAGGCAGCCGAGTGGGTCGCGATAATGAAGAATATGCTTACATCGGCGGCAATCTACTGATATAAACGATGAGACACCCTAGCCTATGCTAATTGTAAGAGTCCTCTGATGCAAAGACGCCACAACTAATCTGTAATGACGCATAATACGGATTTCGGGTTCATGTATTGGCATTTTTCTCATAAAATGAAGGCATTAGTACGGTTAATACCGTTCGGTTAATTTATGCTTAGCATACTTTGTTTTTAAGGTTGAAGTGATAGAGTTTTTCAAGGTTATACAAACTCATTTATTTGATCGCATTTCAATTTTCGCAAAGTGGTTTCGTCGTAGCAGGGTCTCTAACGTAATGGCTTATCGCTTGCCTCTTATTGCGCAAACCACTGAACTACAACTTGAGAAGGTGTGTATGAGCCTCTACAGATATACAAGCAATGCTCTATTATAAATAGGCACGGAGACAGTGCATCGGTACGGGTACAGTAAGATTTTAGCTGAGAAACGAGTTTGCTGGAAATATCGGCGAATTCGGGTGACAGAATAAATGTTTCCAGATTTCATGAAAATTAAAACCATTTTAGCGGTTTCAACAAACTTTGAGTACTGAAATACTCAAGAGACTCGCGGTTTTTCCACACCGATTACCCAAGCAACAATAACAACATAGCAAAATGCCCTATATGTTCACTTCATGTCTGATCACGAGAAAAAGTGAGACCACACGCTGTGTATAATCCATTATTGTCTGGGTAATTTTTACGTCATAATATAAAGGAAGCATGAGTTATTGTTTCATAATAAAGTATAACAATGAACAATCACATTTCAGGAAATTGGTCGTTGAGGCCACGCACTTGCGTAGGTCGGTGTGATTGCATTCGAGTGTATTTTTCATGGGTTTTCAAGCGACGATGATTAATTATAGATAGGAGGGCGTACCAGCTTAAGTACGCTCAACTTGCAATGATAAGATATCTAGATAAGATGGCAATAAATAATGTTGGAGACAGAATGTATGCATAAGACTAGCGCTGCGTTCTATTGTGGCGTCATATGTAAAAAAGAATGGGGACCGGTCTAGGTAATGATAGGACTAATAACTGGAATTAGGATTTTGTGTTCAAAAACATTGTCAAGGTACCTTTACTAGCTGAGTGCGTAGCAAAGTCATTCAGTATATCATCGAAATTATACATTGGTATAATTTATATAGGTTAAATGCTATAATTTACGTATAAAATTAGCAAGGGTTGCAGTGGTCAAAAAATGAAAAATAGCAGTAGCGGCACATTTAGGGTTAGAATGCAAATATTGTGCCCGGTTATGCCTTTCCAGGCTATTTTCAGAATATTCTAACCCTAAAACAAGATCACCGATTCTGTCAGTTCACGTTTTGTTCATTTCTCCAGAAGAAGGGGGCGCCCCAAGAAGATTACTGGCATAAAACAAAAGTATGACACCCGGAGATAAAACACGGTAGTGTAACTATAATTGAGCGTCTTATCTCGTGTTTGGCAGCAGCGGAGCGCGACTGATCGGAATGATCTCCCACATAGTATTATTGCTGTCACTTCACGCTTCGACAATTTCCAAATCAGCCATTTATCATTTGCAACACAACACAAGTAACAGTTTGCAATACAAGTAATCTATGCCCAGAAAGGCGGTTGTTGGCAACGAAAAAGCTGAAGGTCATGCGTTGTTGCCTTATTTGATACTTTTTCGGGTTTGCCACCTAAATTTAAACCCAAATATTGATACGGTTAAAAGTCAACTTTTATCTGTAGTATTTTCGACAAGTAATCATACTGAGATTACAATGTTTAGGAAGGGCCGGGATATTTCCTTCTCGACATGGTGTTTTGAAATTTGGCCATAGGTGAGGCGATAAGCCTGGAATCGTAACCGAACTTCTTCAACTTGTGCCTCCAATACGCTATCGCGCACATCACTGGGGCGATAGAGGCACTATAGCACTTACATACACCTATTCATTCGGCACCTAATGATCTGGGTTCAAATTTCATTGCCGCCACCTGACCTAAGGCATATTAAATTGGGTAGAAAAAGCCGAACCAGAGAGGTTTAGGTCTTTCCAAAGTGGCTTATTCGGAGATTAAATTGGGTTGGAACGTAGTACCGCGCTTTTACAAATACATATTAACTAAGTGCAAATACTCATCTCAGATTTCCTTTTGCGTAGTGGAACGAAATATTGTGACGTGTATCGTTATTATGGTATCTGATTCCCATTTTATTTTTGGGAATATATTACTAAATATAGCATTAAAACGTACGGTGATAGAGGAAACAGGTCAAATTGTTGCGTCACACTTACTACTAAAAATTCAACAATAATTTCTGTCATTTAATGGTAGATCGGTTACTTGCATGCTTCATATTTTGTATTTTTTGAAGAGGGAGTTTTTTGGGAGGGAATTTTTTGGCGTCTTCGGCGCGATTAATTAACCACCATGTTCGAAATCAAAATCTGAATTGATTTGTTATACTTACGTGCGTTTAGTTACCGCTAAATCATGCTAATGTTTCTGTTTTATGCATTGTCTGAGTCAAGCACCTAACTATGCATATATTAGATTTAATTCAGAAAATTTCATTTATTTTTATGAATGAGAACTACAGATAGTTGTAAGTGATAGAGTTGCAGGTTGGATGAGATAAATACTTCTTTAGAAAAGTTTGAAATTGTCAAGATGGGTCAACATTGTCAAATTAATTTTAAATTTTCGGTTTGATAGAGTGTTTGACCCCTGTGATTTGCCTGAAAGTTGTGGAAGCGATAGTTTGTGGTTAGCGCACTAGACCCGATTGTGTTGGTTGCAGGTTAAATTTTACTCAGAGTGTAGTAAACCAGAACGGTTGCGCCATTTTTGATCGATTAATATTTCCTTAATAATCAGTGTCAGTCAGTCAATTGTTTATTTTTTTTGCAAATAAAAAGAGAAATTTATGCAAAAAATGCAAATAATATAATTCGACTGACCACTGAATAAGGCTCCTTATGTTGAGCGTTGTTCTGAGCAAAGAAAAAACATTATAAATTTGATTCTGGTTATAGAACGTTAAGAAATAGATCGTTTTAGAACTCTGGTTGATCTGCGACCATATATATCTCATTCAAAGAGCATTAACTGTATCGGCTACTATCTCTCCCTCCCTTCCTAAAAAAATTCTTATGTGCACTGCAAATACGAATCTGGTTAAATTTCATTGTGTCTGCTATAATTTCTACCTCCATTATTTAAATTTTAAAATATTTCTGTCGTCACGGCCAATGTTTGGTGAAGATAGATTTTACTCAATTAGATTTCTCTAAAATACCATCCACGAATTACAGACGTAAATATTCTGACCTTTCATTCGCAACAGGTAATTTGAGAGATTTTCCTCGAAAATTGCGCGATAATTTTGCATAATTGGAACTCGATTTTAAAACCAAAGACATTATTCTGCCGAAACTAGGTGATTATCCCTTCAAAAAAATATCTATGCCAAGACAGAAGCGTCTTTAAAGCATTAGTATGAAATGATTTCAAAGATCTCTCGTGGCGTTGTCTTATGAAAGAGGGAGCTTAAAATCAATTAATCGTGAATGAATATATCGTCTCAATTGTCATTTGAATTACCCCCCTCTGTAGAAAACCATTATAACGATACGTTAGAGTTTGACCAGATAAAGTTTGTGTTGCATTCCCAGTGTGGCATGACTGGCAGCGCAAGCGACTCCGTGTAATATTGAGACATTTCTGTCCAGTTATGGTCCATGCGCAATTGGATATAATAAGATTGTACTGTAGACGAGATCATAAACATATTTTGAAGTCATGACAAAAATCTGAAAATCAAACCTAGCCTAAACTGAGTTTATTCAGGTTCGAATATTTTTGTAAAGTCTGCTAGAGTTATTTTTAGGTAAATAAAGTCAGTCACACGTTAGTTGGAAGTAGAAGGGCAACCATGTCATGTTCAATACTATTCATAGGCGGAATTGTTGTGCAATAATAGTGCGATCCCACGGTTTTGTGACGATACAGACACAGGAAGTGACGTATATTACTGTGAGGAAGCACACACAGAGACGCGTGTTTTTGAAAACTTCTAAAAATATCAGGTACGCTCAGGAAACTAAAAAATAAGTAAATTTAATAACTTTTCGCTGTAGTTCAATCTGTTACACCAACTGCGTATAGCGCCGTCACAGGCTGTAAATTCAGCTGGGTGTTTATTTGAAGTCCGGTAGCAGAAATTCTGACCGAAACTTGATTCTAA